CTTTCATTTGGTTCCTTCCCAGCCTGAGGCAATTTCCTTATATGAATATGCTAATCAATACTCAGCTGAAAAACTGAGGGTGACCTTCAGACCTCTGTACTGCTCTTTCCTCTCTGGTGGTCTCCCCTGTGAGCTGTAGCTGATTTGGTTTTCTTGATTCTCAGCTCCAATTTAATTTACGTTCTTCAGGTAAAGTGACCAACTATTCCTGTTACATGGCATTTGGGTGGAAGGGGATTGTCAGATTCAGAACTTTCACTTTAAGATGGAAAAGTCCATGCAAAATGGAACGAGCTGGTCATTTTACTACCAAAGTCTGCCTCCTTTTGGTGCTAGAGTCTTGGAAACCCTCTCAAAACTATCAAGTGGAGGATCTACAGGGCTTAACTACTTGTTTCTAGTATCTTAGGGATCACTGTTCTTCATTGCTTTATAACCAGCGTCTTAACCCTTTGACTTATATATGTTGTCTGCTTATTACATTATTTCGGGGGGGGGGATGATGAATCTTACTCCAAAATTGCTCATTCTATTTTGATTCTACTTTATCATGATTCTGTCTGACCGCTTTCCAGAAAGTGCTCTAATCAAAGTTACCAGCTGGCTGTATACTTCAAAATCCAGTAGTCAGTTCTCAGGTGCCATTTTACTTTACCAAACAGCCACAGTTAATGTTTGCTTACTAATTTTCTTTAAAACACCTTTTTTTCACTTGGCTACAAGGATATAATTTTCTTCATTTCCCTTTAACAAGTCAGTCTTTCTTAGTTCCCTTTGCTGGAATTGCCTCATGATCTCAACCTCTAAATGTTAGTCCTAGGATATCTTTTCCTATCTCTTTATACTCATTCCCCAGGTGATTTCATTAAGCCTGGCAGTTTTTTGTGTCTTTGTATACTAACTAACTCCTAATTTATAACTCCAGCTCTCCAAAGCTTCATACTCAGCTGCCTACTCAAATTTTACACATGGAGAAGGCATCCGAAACTCAGTATTTCCAAAACTGAACTCTACATTTCCTCTCCTCTCTGAACCTGCTGCATTCAGATCCATATGTTTCTTAGTTAATAGTAACTCGGCTCTTTTGACTGCTTTTTCCTATTTCCTACATACCTAATACATCAGCAAATCTAGGCAGTTTAGCTTCTTGCCTTCACCTGCTTCCCTCCTAAATCAAGTCATTACCTCTCACTTGGATTACCGGAAGAGCCAGTCTCTCTGTTCCTATATTCCTACAAATTTTTCAAATGGTCTGTATATTATTAGTTTCAAAATGTGAACTAGATTGTTCTTTACACAAAATGCTGTAGTGCTTCCTATCCCACTGAAATTAAGATACAGTCTTTGCTTTGACCTTTAAGGGACTAAATAATGTAACCAAATGTAACTAGGGCTACCACCATTCCTTTCTCTTTAGTTGATATACAGTGACCTGTTTTGCATGGAACATGAAAACGCCACTCCTATCTTCAGATCTTTGACAACTCGAAATTGCTGTTTTCTGCCCAGGGCACAAACATAATGGAATGAGATGGCTCACCCTATTATTTCCTCGAGGTCTCAGCTCAAATGTTGCCTTATCAGAGATGTTTTCTCTTATCACTTTTGCCACCACAGCATCTGTTATCTCTCTCAATTATTTTATTATACTACATTTTCTTCATAGCACATATCACTATCTGATATGTTCAATATACATTAATTTATCTGTTAATTGCACTGGATTGGAAGTTGAAGGAGCAGGGATTCATTTGCAGATACAGTCCTAGTGCTGGCAGTATTTGTTGAGTGAATGAATGAAATTTTAAAGTCCTTTTTTTCTTTTTGAGACCAGGATATTTTTTCCTCAGCTTTTATTTTAGGTTTAGAGGGTACATGTGCATGTTTGTCATATAGATAAGTTGTGTGTTGCAGGGGTTTGATGTACAGATTACTTCCTCTCCCAGGTAATGACCACAGTAACTGATAGGTAGTTTCTCCATCCTCATCCCTCCACACACCCTCAAGTAAGCCCCAGTGTCTATTGTTCTCTTCTTAGTATCCATGTGTAATCAGTGTTTAGCTCTCACCTAAATTAAGAACATGCAGTATTTGGTTTCCTGTTACTGTGTTAATTTGCTCAGTATTACGGCCTCTAGCTTCATCCATGTTGTTGAAAAAGACATGACTTTGTCATTTTTTATGACTGTATCATACTGCATTGTGTATATATATTTTCTTTTTCCAGTTTACCGTTGCTGGCATCTAGGTTGATTCCATATCTTTGCTGCTGTGAATAGTGCAGTCATGAACATATACATGCACCATGCACGTGTTTTTATGGTAGAACAATTTATACTCCTTTGGGTATATACCCAATTATGGGATTGCTGGGTTGAATGTTAGCTATACTTTAAGTTTTTTGAGAAATCCTCAAACTGCTTTCCACAGTGACTAACCTACTTTACATGCCCAATAGCAGTGTATAAGCATTCCCTGTTATCTACAACCTCCTCAGCATCTGTAATTTTTTAAAATTATTATTTTTGCATTCCTCTAATGATTAGTGATATAGAGTACTTTTTTATTTGCTTGTTGACCATGTGTATGTCTTCTTTTGGGAAGTGTCTGTTCATGTCCTTTGCCCATTTTTTAATGAGATTGTTTGCTTATTGTGTTAAATTCCATATAGATGCTAAATATTAGACCTCTGCCTGATGTATAGTTTTTCAAATTTTTCTCACATTCTGTAGTTTGTCTGTCTATTCTGTTGATGGTTGCTTTTGCTGTGCAAAAGTTCTTTAATTTAACTAGGTTGCAATTGCTTTTGGAGTCTTTGTCATAAAATTTTTGCCAGTGCTTCTGTCCAAAATGGTATTTTCTGGGTTTTGCTGCAAGGTTTTTGATAGTTTGAGGTGTTATATTTAAGTCTTTAATCCATTGTGAGTTGATGATTTTTGTAAAATCATTTATGGTAAAAGGAAGGGGTCCATTTTCTGTCTTGTGCACACGGGTAGCCATTTACCCAGCACCATTTAGAGAATAGGGAGTTCTTTCCCCATTTCTGGGTTCCCTATTCTGGTCTATGTGTCTATTTTTGCACCAGTACCATGCTGTTTTTTGGTTACTGTAGCCTTGTAGTACAGTTTGAAGTTGGGTAGTGTGATATTTCCAGCTTGCTTCTTTTTGCTTAGGATTGCTTTGGTTGTTCAGGCTCTTGTTTGGCACCATATGAATTTTAGAATACTTTTTCCTAATTCTGTGAGAAATGCCATTGGTAGGAATAGCATTAAACATATAAATGGCTTTGGGGAACATGGCCATTTTAACAATATTAATTATTCCTGTCCCTGAGCATGATTTTTTTTTTCATTTGTTTGACATCTTAAAGACATTTCTGATCCATTATCTTAAGCAGTGTAGCTGCTACCAAATGATCTCTGATTACCAAGTACCTTTTTATGTCCTATATAGAAGCATTCTTATGTGCCTCTCTCTAATACTCCTGGAGGATATCAGTTAGTTAGGCCTTATGTGCGCATGGCTTTTATTGTTTGTTGGAACATCAAAAAGAATTCAAAGAATCACAACACAGAAGAGCTTTCTTCTCTTGATCTTTAGGAAAGAAAAGGCTTCTTCCAACTAAGTAGATGTCTGAATTTCCAAAGGAGGAAGAAGAATGTTATTTTCAGCTATTTTCTAATATTTCGATTAGGACAAAATGGTCTTATTCCTTCCAAAAGAGGTTTTCCCCTTGCCACATGATAAAAGCATTCTCTCAATGAGTTACCAAAAAAAAACATACATTTTCTCAGTTTGGTTTGTAGCAGAAAACATAGCCCTATAACCTTGGTTCCATTCCTTTTATCTCCAAAATTTTCTTTCACCTTAGATCTTGTAATCTATGAAGTATTGAGTTTAAATATTTATTATTTTGGGGTTAACAAAAATCTTTTCCCTCGATTTTAGCTTTACAATTTTTTATCAAAGTAGTATTTTAATATGAGTTCTCTGGGCCCAGAATAACATGAGTTCTTCTATTATAATGGATGATGTTTTGTTCTTCCATATTGCATAGAGGTGGTCTCAATAATAAGACAGACTCAACTATATGTTGGCTCTTTCACATAACACTTAAAAATTTTTTAGAAAGCACTCACAGGACCTTTTTGATGCGGAATCACAAACTAGTGGTTCATATTTGAATTTTAGCTCCCAGATGTGTGTGCTTCACATGCCATAGTCCCTAAGGCTACATGTTCTATTATACCCACTTCTGCTTACAAACATGCATGGCCAGCCTGAACCCTGCAGGCATTTGTGTCTGACCCAGAAGACCCACAGAGGTTCAATCACTGTTACTCTTGGTCTTTCCTCACTGGGCTTCAGATCATCCATCCTTACCTTTATTTTACCCGTGACTAGAGTTAATGTCAGGCTATTAACTATACATCAATTAGGAGACTTCATAGCCACTCACTATAAACGTCAGCTAGAATGCCTCCCTCTAGCATTTCAGAATCTCTTTCTGAACAAAACTTATTTTTAGAAAGGCAGCATAGTGATTTTTTTTTTCTAAAAGTAAAGTTTGAATTTCCATTTTATTTAGAAGACTTAGTGACATTATGGCTGAGGAAATGCATTCTTCAGCCAAAGGACTTGATCATATTGTCCTTACAGATGACAGTGGGTATTCTGCTAGAGTAAGGATAATAAAATTAGACTTGTCATCCTTGTTTAGGAAACTGAGAAGTAAATATGTAGCATAACGGTGCTGGTTCAGGCATTTAGATCTGAGCAAAAGAACAATAACAAGATTCCATTTTATAGTAGCAGGTACCATCTGGCCTTAGTGCCTATTCTGGACAAAGCCACTCCTCAAGGTCACAATCTCAAGTCTTTCTTCAATAAATGCCTTGCAATATGTAGTAATTTTAAAATCTGTTTTAGACTTCCATTTGCATCTAAAACTCCCCAACACAAAACAAGTCCTGTTTCAACCTTTGATGTATCTAACTTACCTTCCAGGAAACAATCACTCAAAAAAAGCCTTGATTCTCCCTTCCACTCTTGACATTGCCTTGATGTCGGGACTAACCTGCTGGATTTAAAAAACAACAACAACAAGAATTTATTGTTAACAACATTAGTTATCAGGCAGAAAAAATTTTCAGGCAAGCTACCTGCTACAGAACCGAGAGAGACCAAAGCAGGTTTGGAACGTTACTGTGTACTCTTTATTTATATGCTGTAAAAAAGCCCCAGAAGTTTACCAGTATGCGTGTGCCTTGGGTTACTTTCATAACAAAGGAGTCTTTCTATGTAAATTCTTAGTTTTTAAGAGTGTAAACTTTTACATTTATTTGTGCTCTCCCACCCCATACTCAGGAACTTATTCAAGTAATATAAAATATGAAAAAGTAGGTGGAACACACAGATTAATGCCCAGTGGACACAGCCACCACACTTTAGATTTCTGTAGCTCATTCCCTGTAAACACTGTGGCGCTTAGAGGAATCGTGGCCTCCGCTACAGTTCATGCTTTCCACAGGCTCACAAGTTTCTGTATTATAATTCTTTGTGCCTGAACATTAGCTCACTAATCACGCTTTCCCTGTGGATTTTCTCTGTCAATCCCGAATGATGGTATTTTCCACAGTAACTGTATTTGAGTCAATATAGTCCAGACTTTTCTTGAAAACTGTGTTTCATCTTAAGACTTTATAGAGACAACAAGTATTATGAGGTAAGAAAACAGAATCCACCAGAAACACACTAATAGACAATACAAGCACATTTCAGATATGCATATGTGTCATTGCAGGAGTATAAATTGCACTCTCTCTTTGTACGATCAGTAGGGAGTGTGGGAATTTAGCGTTAACCATAAATTCCTTTCACTAGTGCATTGATGAATGCCTGCATACTGACTGGGTCAGGGAAATTACATTTTTTTCTCATACCCTTGTTCTGGTATTTCTTTGTCTTCTTCTATATCCAGAGAAATTCAAATCAGATTCATAACCTTCTTGCATTAGAAAATATATATCAACTCTAAGATTGGTTAATCTCTGTGTTCAAGTGCTTATAGTTTAGATGTTTTAAGGACAAACAATTTTAAAAGATCTATTCTTGTTTGCTAATGCACAAATCTGAACAAAGGTACCAATTTCAGATCATAAATCTCTCTTCTACTTGATACGTTATATCTTTTTTGTTTTCTGTTATTCATTCAGAGGAACTTATAATCCTCCTGCTTATTTTCAGAAACAGGAAAAATACTGGTTTCAGTGTTGTAAAGAGGAGGAGAGTTACCTTCTTATAAGCATTTTTTAAAAGCTCTTTGCCTCATACTTATTTCTATATATTAATTTACTCATTATTTCCTAAATTCCTTTCCTCCTCCACCTGGCCCCCAACAACCAGTGGTGGGATTTGCGATATAAAACTATCAAATTTGTACCTTGAGAATGCTCTACCATTCAACTATTTTGTTACATGGATCAACACTTACCTTCCCAGTATTGTAGCTTCTTAAGTTTATTTGGGCATTTTTATAACTTGAGAAAGATGCCAGTCTGGCCTAGAAAATCCCCATCACCATGAGAGTCAGGTAATATCCTGGAAAAAAAAAAGTTTTAGAAAGATGATTAGCCATGATAATACACCTGTTCTTCTAGTTTCTTCCCATACTGTCATCACCTTGGAAACCCAGATAACAGGAGATGAGAGGTTTCTAGTACTTAACTAGCCCAGGAGCTTCTGCATCCTGTAATGCATCACAATTACAGCCCTGCCAAATAAACCATAGATAGATTTCTGAACCTCCTAGTACTTGAATTTAAAACCTCAACTCTCTTGTATTTTGTATATTAGAGAAGAGAAAGCTGCATTCTTCAGTTTTTTTTTCTAGACATTTTTATGCAAGTAAGTGGCTCTAAGAATATACAACTTTAGACCCACAAAGAGGTTTTCTTAAGTGATAAACTGGAAACAAAGGGAACATTATGTACCTATTTTATATGTATAAGGTTATTAGGTTTTGAGGAAAGGATAAAATGTCACCTCTCTAAGAGAAAATGGACAAGGGACAAGTTCAAATGTCTGCTCCTATTAAGTCTCTCATTCTGTTCTAGTATTAATCATCCAATTAGATTTTACTATGCTTTTGTTTCTTTGCAGTACCCATTGCTCTTTATGACTCAAATGCTCATTCTTGGTCCACTTAAAGCCTTACTCAGAGGGAGAAACCCTTTCTAGATAGCTGGTATCAGGTAAATAAGTGATTATATAAAAGCAAAGTCTGCTTACTTCACAGGCTAACCTTTTAAAAACTCTTCTACTGAGTTTAATAGAATTGACATCATGCAACTGTACGCCAAGACGAAGGCTGTACTAGTGATTTTGTGGCTGTGTCAATTATTTTCCAGAAATTTTAACGTCTGAAAAACTCATGATAACACTCACTGTGCACCTCACAAGAATCTCTGGATCTCAGTCATCTGCCACTGAAAAGCTTTAAGCACACTATGTTCCTGGCACATCTAAAATTTATATTCTTTGCAATGAGTCACCTGTTGTCTGTCTTACAGGCATTTCCTTTGAGCACTTGTCATGATGGTTCATTGAAATTTCTGTGTTGTAACTAATTAAAGTATTGACGCAAATTTAACTTTTCCACAGTCCGCAGAATGGCAAATAGTGACTGAAAAGTTCTGAGTAATAAGTGGGACCTTCAATCACATGGCCACACAATATACATTTAATGGATGAACTGTGAATTGTCATCTTACAGTCTTGCCTGGTTCTGGATCAGGGGAAAAGGATAGACAGAATCAGGAAAAGAAAAGTGTCTATGACATGAACTGCTAATGAGTAGAGCAGACTATGTCTCCATAACACAAGCTACTGTCGGTTTATGTTCTTGATTTCATAGGGTATTCATTGACACCAAATATTTTTAACACTGTATCCCATCCTCCATGAAAATGTGTCCAAAAAAGGCTAGGCTACTTTAATAATCAATTTCTAAGAGAATGTGGAGCAAGGTTCAGGATATGATCTGAAGTATGTATGTCCAACAGAGCTCTCCAGCGTACTGAGCCCTCTGTGTCTAATTCTGATTTACCACTTTTTCCTACCTTGAGAGCTTTGCCTTGTAATTTTCAAGTGCTCTCATTTTAGCTTTGGCATTGACTCCACTTCTCCATATGTCAGATAACTCATAAATCATCCGCCTGCCTAAATCTCTATCCATCCTTTTGCTTTCTTAGTCCTATTACCAGCAGGTGGTCCTAAAAGGTATACTAACTGAGAATATCATCTCTTTTTCTGCCTTACATCAACAACCTGTACCCAGGCCACTATCTTGAGAAGTATCACTGACTCTCCTAGGGCTTAAAGGAAAAGAATCTGAATACCTAAAGCCTGGGAATTTGGTTCATTTATTAAGCCATGTAACCTATAAGATTTCCAGTTCAAGAAGGAAGTTCCCAGTCAGCCTAACCAGAAAATTAAGTGGGACTCGAGGATTTTACCTAGAATTTAGAGTGGGTTCATCTGATGACACAAATAAGTCTAAGATCAAAAACATAAACTTCACAACAGGAGCTTTGTACTGTCTCACTTGAATAAAGGGATGTGAACAATAAATTGTGGCCCTGGGTATTTTTGAGGTACTGTGTCCTGTGAGACTCTCTGACATTCTTCTGAATGACAGAAGAATCATGAACTGATGTGGAGGTCTAGAAGCAGTAAGAACATCCTTCATATGCAGCCTCAAGGCAAGTGAATGTTCAGCATCTCTTGGAATACAGAGACCAGCCAGCATGAACTTTCACAAGCTAAAGAGAGAGAGGAGGGCAGGAATCTTAATGTCTATGTGAGCAACCTGTTGACCTAAAGGGACCATGCAGATCATACCATGGAATCTGAGGACATTAACTGAATACCAGTTTTGGTAGAAAATGTCTTGGTGTTTGTCACTAGTCAATATTCAACTGCCTTTCAGTCTTTTTTTAAAATTTGAGTTGTCCTTGTAATTGTTATTTTTGCATTTTGAGAAAAAAATGTTTAATACCAAAATAAATGCCTTTTGGATTTAATATGTCAAAGACTTTATAAATAAAATCATATTGATAAAGCAGGAATGAAGTAGATCAACACCAAAGTAACTTTTAACAATATTTTGAGAGGCTGCTAGGAAGATGATGGAGTAGGAACCTCCAGGAATGCATCGCCCTACCTAGACAACAATTGCATTGGCAGAATCTGTCTGATTTAAGTATTTGGGAACTCTGGAGTCTGCTGAAGGCTTGAAACTTCCAGGGGGAACTCTTAGAAAGTAAATTGTAGTTAATTTCTATTCATTTTCAGCATTTATCGTGATAGCAGATACTCATTCCCACCTCTCAGCCACACGGCAAGCAGCTGTGCTCCTGCGTTCCTGGAACAGTTTGCAAACAGCTTGCTTGAGCCAAGGTGGGTAAAAAGGAACCTGTCTTTGAAATACCTAGAATCTGTGCTCTAATTGCTGCTTCTGATGACACAGGTGTGGACAAAGAGATGCTTCTGCATTGTTGTAAACTCCTATCCTAGGTGAAGTAACTTCTAGGCAAGTGAAACAGCTGATAACCTTTTCCACATACCTTCATTTTTCTTTTTGTGAGCCAGAAATTGAAGAGAAGGACATTGAAAAACAACTGCATATATGGGAAATTTAAAAAGTGACCATGCATACCCACGGAAAGGCTCAAAAATGGCCTACAGAAACAATTTAAAAGACAGCAAACCCAGGGTAGGGTCACAGGGTGATTTCCAGAGGTATTTTTAGATTTAAACGTATAGTTTTGAAGAAAAAATTCACGAAGCATATGATATGGTTTGGCTCTGTGTCCCCATGCAAATCTCATCTCAAATTGTAATCCGCATGTATTAGGGGAGTGGCCTGGTGGGAGGTGACTGAGCTGTGGGGGCAGACTTCCCTCTTGCTATTCTTGTGATATCTGCTTATTTGATAAGTATGATGCATCCCCCCTGCCCCTTCTCCTCCTTGCTTCTCCTTCTCCTTTTGCCATGATTCCAAGTTTCCTGGGGCCTCCC